ACCTCAAATCTCACTACGTGACTGACTTAGCACGTGCTAATCCTCGATCTTCTTGTCGAAATGACAGGAAATACGGAAGATCACTTATTATTATCAAACAGTGAAGGTAATTATTATGAAATGTATGACGCAAATGCCCACGAGAAACAGTGTAACTTATGAAAGTACACGTCCTTCTGCTTATTCACCTCTGAAGTGACTCCTTCTCCGTATTTACGTCACTACCTACTTGATAAATGCGCGTTTGTAGTCTTTATCTTTTTCGGGTTCGGATCAGCCAATATTCCATATACAGGATGTCCGAAAAATGTATACACATCACAAATTTTTTGACACTATCTTGTCGGTCAGTTCAACTGTGCCACGAAGCTGACGATGGTAATTTGTGAACACCTAAATTAAATTCGCTAGTTCAGTAAGTTCCAATTTAGTTTATTAAAATATCTTTATATCATTCATTGAATATGTTTGTACATATTTTTGGGACACCTGTATTTTTTTTTGGAATACTACCCTATATGACACAGTGGAAAAGTGGTCTTGGGAGTCTAATAGTTGCTCAGCTGGCTAATAAATTCCTCTTATTTTATAGAATCTAAATTTTCGTTGCTCTGTACACAAGAGTCCGTCACTTCAAAACCCAGTCCAGACATTTTTTAATATAGCCTACATTTTAATATTATTCTCCCACCTATTCCCAGATCTCAAAAGTTTTATTCTTGATTGTTCACGTTCTTCGACACAAAATCATACGCATTTTTAATATGTTGTATGAGTGCTACATGTAATACCAATCTCGTTTTCTCTTTGTTTCATCGTATTAATAGCATCTGGTGGCGAATGCTTATCGTAACGTACTTTCTCATTCCTCCTGATGCATTAATATTATCATTTATCTTCAAGACAGTAGACTACTCAGAGTCCATGACCACAACACCAGACTGCTGACAGTGGTTGTTCTTGCCATCACCCCATGTAAACAAAATAAGTGGCTGACGAAATTAGATGCAAACGTAAAATAACTTGATGTACCCGAGAAACTGAAGTGAATTAAATGATCGTCCGCTACGTGTGACTCCGGCTTTAGGGCGAGACCCGCGTCGAATGTTCAGTTTTTAATCGACGTTTCGGCTAACATTGCATTTGCCATTTTCAAGCTGGGTTCTCACCCCAAAACCGAAGTTATATGTCGAAATCCAGCAGCGAAAACTTACTGACAAGAACGCACGCTAATAGTCCTTGACCCATGGAAGATTCCTTAGTCCCGTATGAAGTGGTAAGGAAAACACTCACTTGCGTACATAAAACAGAAGACAACCGCAGGTGTTTGTAAATATTTACCGCCAGGCGATATATTAAGACAGGTTTCTGGAATTGTGAATGTTAGTTGCTGGATAGTGTTCGTTCAGAAAATGCTGACGACCGGCTGTCTTATAGTTCTTTTGACTGTTGGCTCTTATGCCATCCTCCCCTTACGTAAGTACAATGTTTTGCTCTAAGTCGTATGGAGACGTTGATTGGGAATACTGTTGCATGTATCGTATAACTCAGAAGATATAAATTTCGATCTTTTAGTTGGAATAATTTCAATAAATCTGTTCCGTTAGGTTTATGATAATTATGACATCCTACAAGAATGTATTGGCGACATGTCTTTCTTGTTTCCAGCACATTACATTAAGGCGTGTGTTACCACAGATGCCACATTTGTCGAATGTGCATTACAACATGGAAACGAGGCAATTCCGTACATAGTCAAAGGTAATAATCTCACGCAGGTTAATTTACGTGTGTACGTAAGGATCACAGCTTAGGTTACGAAGGCAAGACCTCCCGCTTTGTTAAACTGAGCTACGTTAGATTCAAAAATATTTTCGTGCTCCAAGTGTCTCAGAACCGATCAAAAAACAATTTAAAATATTTATAAACATGAAATGAGAATAAACTTTATAAATATATAGAGAAAAATAATTTAGATATTAACAGTTTCCTTCTGCGCGACTTGTCGATACTGCAATTACCAATATTGAAACTAAACAAACCTGTACTACGAGACCGAGTGGGGTCAGAGGTGAAGCCCCGTAACTCATGACCCAGGTCATGTCAGTGTGTTTTTTGGTCAGAGCTGTGCACATAAATTTTGTACTGGGGGAGTTTCGCTAAAGTTTATCTGCAATTTCAGTTTATTCTTAAAATCGGATAAAAATATCGCAAACTTAACGAATTCACTTGAACATTTTACTTTTACGCGGCAAAACTGACCAAATGTTTGAGCTGTAGTCTACTTTGGTTGCCAAATGTTATTACTGTTAGCTAGGTGAAAAGTGGTGTATAATTCTGGCGAACGCGCCGGGAACACTTTTAACTGACTCGTAACTTTATTTTTTTACAGGCGACAGGAGTTATAAAATAATGAAAATGGACCCTATGAATATTGCAGAAATACAAGTGAGGAACGGGCCGAGGCAGGCTGGCCTCTTCCTAACCATGAGAGATCTTGAGCTCCACGGCCTTAAGAACGCGGTTCTTCTTAAATCAGAGTGAGTTTGAATCCTCATGAGCTGCCCTTTTCCTAATCAGTACAAGGACACACGCGTCTCCCAGATTAGGCGTGACCTCGTCTCCTGGAAGGGCAAAGATACGAAACCCTGTCCTAATATTAGCGGAATAAACGTTTTTTCTTCTGAACGCGAACGATTTCAATCGATCGTTTTAATTGGCTTCCAGAAAACGAAAAATTACATGAGATAATAATGTTGCGTCATATTGTGATGATTATAATTGTTTAATTTTAACCGTCTAATCACAATAAAATATTTTATTAAATATTAAAATATTATTACTACAATTAACATTTAAATATTTAAAATATTTAAAATATATATATATATATCCTCTGTTGTTGAAAAGACAAAAATACACCATCTGGTAACAACATTTAGGGACGAGGGACCTGTTTGTCTGTGGCAAGTGAAAATCGAGAGACAAAGCAGCTGGAATTACGGTCGCACCGATTTTAAGCAGTCCATCAGCTGCGTGGAGATAAGGCTGCAAGAATTCACTATTATTTTTGTCTTAGGCGTTTCGCTATGAACGGGTTTATGTGTAGAGGTTAGGGTTTCGTTTGGAACACGCGGTTTCTGCAGACGATTTCCCCCGAGTGACATTCAGGGAAATGTAGCGCGAAACGGAAGGTCTGCAGTAACGTTTGTGTGCGAGGCATTAACAGTTTACTGCCTATCGGTTTCTGTGATGGCGAATCGAAGGCAGGTATCCCGTTAAAGCGGTCACTGTTATTGCAGTTTCAAATTTTAATAAGTATAGTGCATAGTTTGGTCAGAGTTTGCTTTCAGTTTCGTCTGATTTTATAACTAAATTTATCAGAGTCGTTCAGAACATGTATCATCTGATATTTGAGGTTTGTCACGTGGCGGCGCTGCTTGGCAACCACAGATGGCAGTCGAAGTACTGGAGTTCTTTTCTATAATATGTTTTTTTTTCTTTTGTTCTTTTTTAGTTTCAATTTCGACAAGAGACACTTCAGCCACAATTTCCAAGTGCCTTTGGTCAGGTTAACGGGGAAGTACAGCGTATCGGGAAAGGTGCTGTTGCTGCCAATATTTGGCAACGGAGACATGAACGTTACTATGGGTAAAGTACATTCTTCGCTGTCTGCTCTGGAATCCACATCCCTAGAATTCGTCGTCTATGTGACTATGAACTCAGTTGCTTGTTTTGTCTTCCTGCGCGTTTACGACGAACATTCGCGGAAGGTTAGGCTTCTCTGGTGGGTGCTGCTGCACCGTGAAGTATCGTGGAAATTCATAGATGTTTCGGAGGCAATTACTGCCTCCATCATCAGGGCGTATATATAAAATGAGACTTAACTTTGCCGTGTCTCTTTGTTCATCCGCGTGTCCTGACATAACAACTCGAGAATCGCTGAACGGGTTATGATTGAATTGTAAATTGGGGAGTTAAAATATAATTTGTTGACAAGTTCCGGATTTGGATGTTGTGGGACAAAGACTGCGGTCACTTTGCAGATCTTCACGTGCGTTTCTGCGCACGTGACTCGCTAAATCTTTACAGGAGCAAGAAATGTTAAAATTGGAAAAGTAGGGCTGTCCCACTACACGCCATGTAGGCGCTTGGGGGGAGATCAGATATAGCTCTTAATCACACGTCGGCACTACAGGGTGGGTGGGAAGTAAGTAGACATTAAATAATCGCTATTGCTTTGGAAATATAGAGGTTATAACTATCTCAATGCCTACTTACTTACCACCCACCCTGTATATGGGGGGCGAGTGGTCAGCATCACGCACCGGCCACGCTTTGTCCTCCGTGGAAAGGATCCCAGTACCCATTGGTTGGGCATGAATCTATCTGGACGCAGAGGCTAGAGGAAAAGAAATTCTTTGAACCGCCGTCGGGGATCGAACCCCGGTCGTCCAGTCCGTTTCCAGTCACCATACTGACGGCTAACGAAAAGCACATTTTAAGCCCAATATAATTTCCCTTTAAATCTTACAGCCCTACAAGTAAACAAACAGAAGTTAAGATTGACGATTTGAAAATATTGGCTACAATAACAGCTAACACATCAGAATTGTTACGCACTGAGTACATTTTTGAACTTTTTTTAATAATATATTATATTTCTCGTGTGGTTTTATACTGAGTTTTGCGTGAGGGACACGATTCAGAGTAGACTGTAGCCCTAAATTGATTCAAAATTAATATTATCATAAAGTCTTCAGAGTGCCTGAATTTGAACGACACACTTACGAGGTTTAGGTGATTCTATATGATTTCAAGCCGATGTTCCTTCGCTATGTGACTTAATTTTAGAGGTGATAGATAATTCGTCTTCCTGCAGTGAACAACACATTATCATACTCGTATGACTGGGACCTAAAACAGATGGGAGATTATAGACATATGATCTTGAAGAATTCCAAAGCTGAGATAAAGCCCTCCAGAGCCTTCATCCACTTGTCGAACCTCTTCGACGGAGACAAATTGCTGGGTAAGTGTGTAATACCAGCCCTCAAAAAGTTCGAATAGCTCAATTACAAAGTGCTAAGTCCAAAAGGCATGGGTGTAATCTACATTAACATTATTTAAGCTCTCCCGTCTTTATTTAAATAAATTTTAATCATATCGGACATTATATAAGTAAATTGGATTGTTCAGTTTTATTATTATTATTATTAGTGTTCTGTCTGAGGACAGGTCCATATGAACAGGATCCTTCCATCCTTTTCTCGGACTGGGACCTGTTCATATACGTTCTTGGCAGATGATCCAGAAGTGGTTTGCCATTGCCTTCTTCTGTGTGTGAATGGAGTAATTGTTGGGATGCCACGGAGGAAAACCCCGTGTTGCCTAGACCACGGCCTTGCCCAACACAAGTTATAAATTCGGGCACCGCCGGGAATCGAACCCGAGACCCAAGGATTACAAGGCCAGCGTTCTAACCACTAAGACCACCGTGGCGTTTATTACACATTTAATATTTATTTATTTATTATTATTTATTTATGAATAAGTAATTTAATATTATCAGCCTGGTAAAATCTAGGAGGCTACCATCTTATATTTGCGTCTTATTGGTAATCTGAGTGCGTCAGCCTGTTTTCCATCAAATTATGTGGTAATTAATGAATAATGACATGGAAAGATTGTAGCAGGCAGTAGTTGGGGCTTAATTTAATGTAATATCCCAGTAACTGGTACTGAGGAAATCCATAAAAAACATCAGTTGGGATAGGTGGACTCTTGGTGAGAATTGAACTCAAAACCTCCCGGAAACAAAGTAGGAATGTCAACCACTTCACTGAACCATTTGATGAAATTGTGTAATGGTCCTGTAGTTTGGACGAGTGAGAAAATAGATAAAGAATTTTGGCTGGGAAAGATCTTGGGGAAAGTGTTCACTTGGGTGACCTAGTAACAAATGTGAAGATAACATTTAAGATGTCTTAGGAAGATGGGAGGTTGGTGGGTTTGCCTCAGAATCATGTACCGCTGTCACAACTGCTACCAGTCATAAAAATAGTAACAATAATAGTTGATAATTTTCACATGCGAAATATTGCGTTCTAAAAATGTTGTCATTTGTTGAAGGGAACCAAATCAACGGATTTCTCACCGAGAACTGGCAGGAACTGTTTAGGGACATTGGCCCAACAGTAGCGGGAGCCATCTCTGAGGCCGTCACTTCTGTTGTGAATGGAATTTCGAAAGAAGTGCCGTATGATGACATATTTCCTGCCAGTCTACCCTGAAGATCAAATGGCGCAGAGCACTGACATAACATTCACGTGTGTGTGTGTTTGTTTCTTTGTCTGCGTGTCTGTCTGTGAAATTTGTATCTTATATGCGTCATGTTTGTGTTTGATTAAATATATTTATTTTGTACAGTCTATACACAAACGTTTGAAGTTATTGGTGTTGTAAAAATTATATAATATTAAAACATTTTGTTGTGTAAAATATTATATTAGCGCTCTTAATCGTAAATACGATTTTACATTATATTTTTTAGCGCTTTTATTAAAACGACATGTTTCGACGGGTAATACCGTCGTCTTCAGGTTTTTATCAATTTAAAATATTTTAAAAACTATTAGATATTTGATGCAATATATTATAATGATCCGTAGTTCTGTTTGTAGCTTTCCATTTTCATGGTAAGTTGCTTATTGTAGTCAGACGTTATATTTATCTGTGGAATTAATGTTTAATTATTTTCTTGGAATGAGTATGAATTGACATATGAAATAAATAAATAATCGTATAAATATCTATTAAAAATAGTACACGAGGACTGTACAAAATAAATATATATGTCTGTGAAATGTTTTAATATACCTTCTTCCCTATATAATAAAAACAGAAATGTTCATTAAAATGTTATAAGTAATAACGCGGTAGGCACAAGATAGTATATGTGATCAACAGTTGACACTTCAGATTGTGGTCTTCACGGTTATGATACTGTGTGGTCTTGTAGGTGGTTTCGGTGTTTTATAGGAACATAATACCTTCATCTTCAAGGTGATGTTATCCTGAATACATTTAACATGTTTATAAAATAGAAAAAAAAATATTATGAACTTGTAGTGTCTTGCAAGTAATCAGTGCTGCAATTATGATAAATATTTAGGCCGCTATAACTGAAATTATTAGATTTGTATCTTATATGCGTCATGTTTGTGTACAAAATAAATATGAAATTATTATTATTTTATATATTAATTGCGTCATGTTTGTATTTATTAATACAATAATTTATTTACCGTCTATACACAAACTTAAAAATGTTGTTAAAATTACTTAAAATTTATAACAAAAAAAAATGTTATAAATTTTAAGTAATTTTAACAACATTTTTAAGTTTGTGTATAGACGGTAAATAAATTATTGTATTAATAAATACATTATTAGCTTTCTATGTAAAATGAACTTTAATTATTTATCATTTTATGAATATAAAATAATTGTAAAATACAGAGCATTCTTTTTTTGGACATGTTATGAATCTAAAAGTTTTTTTCCCTGAAGATGGAGGTGTTATGTTTCTCCAAAACACTGGTAAACGTTGACAAGACTACACAGCGTCACAACCCAGAAGATCATGTAATGACAATATTAAAATATTGTTTAATTTTCTGTCTGTGTCAAAATGATCAAATTACTGTCACGTTCTGTTATAAATTGAAAACATTCGCCAAAGTTTTGTAATCACAGGCATATCTCATTCTGTTCTAAATAACCTCTGAAATTGACATAGTGTCATCAAATGTGCGACTTCTATGGATTTCTTTATTATTCAAATTCAGTATATGTACTAATTTCCAAAATATCTTATTTTAAGTTGGTACTTGTATATCCAAAATATTACAGTGTTACCAATCTGACATTCTTATATATCATGTTTACGCATTTACGTCTTTTTAATACCAAGGCTTCACAGATTTGTACCACAATCAGGCAAACATCCTCATGGATTAAGTGAAGTAATCCACATTAAACCAAGCTATATCGCATCTGAGGAAATGTATTTACGTATATCCTTTTCCTTATCATTATTTTATTTACTAAATGACTTCAGAGCAATAAGGCATGCATTTTCCTTATCCATCGTCAGATATCTCCTTTCCGGCTTCCTTGACAGCTCATTATTTATATTTAACAAAGCTTTTCCAACAAAACAAGTTCTATGTCATAGAAATGCAGGATTACAGAATTATGATTTGGATAAGCAGAGTTAGCAGTTTCATGATTTTTCATCAGGATTGGCTGGAGGGTCTGAATAAAGACATGAGATGCCTGTCCAATGGCAGCCACTTTCAAAACAGGTAACACTGATCAATCTGACGGCAGTTTCTCTGGGAACCCCACGTCGAAAGGCACTGCGTTTGAAATTCCTGTCAAAATTGCGGTGATGATCTCTGTGAAGGCTGTGATCACAGCTGGAGACAGTTCTTTGTACACGTCTCTCCAGTTTTCATCAAGGAAATTATTCATGTGGTTTCCTGCAACAGTAAGTTTCTGTAGCGTCTGAGAGCGATATCTGTTTGGTACTATGACCTTGCCCTAGTATTGAAATAGAATGTTAGTTCACTTATTCTGCAAGACATGTCAACGAAATGAGAAAGTGAGTTCGATCACAGGCCGGCTGTAAAGACAAGATATTTTACAAATTACACTGTGAGAGAGTGGCGAGTCATTGAGCGAGGGTTGTATCTAGTAAACAATATTTATGTTTCCTACCGAGAGGTTTGAAAAGCCGGCCTCCGATCAACTTCAAGATTAAGTATTGAGGCCTAGTGAACACGTGTATTTATTTATTTAGTGTTCTGTCTGAGGACAGGTCCATATGAACAGGATCCTTCCATCCTTTTCTCTTCTCGGACTGGGACCTGTTCATATACGTTCTTGGCAGATGATCCAGAAGTGGTTTGCCATTGCCTTCTTCTGTGTGTGAATGGAGTAATTGTTGGGATGCCACGGAGGAAAACTCCGTGTTGCCTAGATCACGGCCTTGCCCAACACAAGTTATAAATTCGGGCACCGCCGGGAATCGAACCCGAGACCCCAGGATTACCCTTTAACATAATCCGTCTGCATTGCCTCGTGTAAGCAACGTCCAGTGCTTACAAGATAATGGACCACTGACACAAACATTAGAACCCGAAGTCTCTCGGTGTCTGTAGCTCCTGCTTGTAAGTTTCACTGGCAAATTTATCGTAACTTTGGTGAAATTTGAGGTTCTCATAAAGATTCCTCGCTTCTATGATATAGCGCCATGTGGTCTGGCATTTTAGAGGAACTTACCGCCTTAATCACTCTAACAGTCGAGTCAATATCTACTAGACCAGTGGTATTCAACCTGGGGGTACGCGAAGACATCTTAGGGGGTACGTGAAATTTAAAAAAATATATATTATTTTATGATAAATACTGAATAATCAGTAATGTAATTTATTTTATTTAATTTAGATGTAGATTATATACTATGTATAACTTGAATTATATACCAAGAACTTTGGGGGTTCAAAGTTGAAGAAAAATTATATCTGGGGGTACGCGAACAAAAAAGGTTGAATACCACTGATGTAGACTACTGAGCGTTACATCCCAGTAGACAGCCATCTTCATTACCTACTCTGTATCATTGTTTGCACCGTCGTGAATTATCGTGATTCTGTTACCTCTGGACTGAGACTTACCGAGAACTGGGTCCCCGTTGAAGAGGTTAGTGAGATGGAAGTACGCTCTCACTGGTGTCACTTTGGCCGTGGGGTTTTTTATTACCATGAAGATCTGACCATTCACAGGTTCTAGTGTGTAATCATGGTCATATGTAACTTTGGTGTTTTCTGTGAAATGAAAACGGTGGTCTCCTGTCATGAGATGGGCCGACTGAGCAATTGATTCAAAAATTTACTGGCTAAATGATCACGGAATTATGAGTAAGTCATCCCATGGGGACAGTTTTTGAGTCCCCATTCCGAACTTTCTGAAGATTTATTTCAGTGTTTGCTCCCCATCTGTTTCTTGGTTAACCAGACTGTCACTTTCTGTTTAGAGCCCAGTAGCGTCAGTATGTATCAACTTATTTAATTAACATTCAGTAACTCTGAATTTTGCCCACAGAGTGAATTTATGAGTTTTGTATGATTACTAGAATAAACAGCTATTATTTTCCTAAACAGCATTAAATTCGTCTTTGTAATGGAGATGAAATGTTTCCTTTCAAGTGTGAAGTGACTTTTAAATACTAGACCGTTGAAAATGAGTCCAACTTTCAAGCTGTTACTGCAAGCTTCTTAGTCAACCCTTGCAGCTTAAAGTAATGAGTCTAGCAAATTTGTTTCTTTTCCCCAAATTATCATTTCTCCATACATTAACCCTAACAGAAATTCCACTGCCTCTGTCTCGAGCTTCCTTTCCATCCCAACGTCTTCACTCTAATTCTATTCTTATGAGAAGGTCGAACAGGCAAAGCCTGGGAACCTTCTCACAAAGTGACGCAGGAGTGAAGTGTCTGTCACTCCTCTTCTCAGGAATGTTAGGTTAGGTTAGGTTAGGTTAGGTTAGGTTAGGTTAGGTTAGGTTAGGTTAGGTTAGGTTAGGTTAGGTTAGGTTAGGTTAGGTTAGGTTAGGTTAGGTTAGGTTAGGTTAGGTTAGGTTAGGTTAGGTTAGGTTAGGTTAGGTTAGGTTAGGTTAGGTTAGGTTAGGTTAGGTTAGGTTAGGTTAGGTTAGGTTAGGTTAGGTTAGGTTAGGTTAGGTTAGGTTAGGTTAGGTTGGGTTAGGTTAGGTTAGGTTTTGTAGGAGTTTCGTCTGTCCGTCCGTTACCCAGGGTGATGTTGATGTCCCCGCTCCCGGTTATTGGCAGGAGCAGTACTCGCCCATTGACTTCGTATTTGCCGATAATCTCAGCGTGGCTGACTACCATCTCGTGGTGGTTGTGTTTTTTCACGAAGTCGAAACTGAAACAAGTGATTTTTCCGAACTGCAGGCTTACGTCACACGGAGTAGTAGGGAGTACGTGGCAAAGCTTTTGACCTGTGTGCCGGAGATTTCGAGAATCTGGCCTTCACTGTCTTTTAAACACCGGGATAGTTTATTAAAATCGGCCACAACCACTTCATTTCATATCATTATCTTCGCACGATTTGTGACCTGCTGACTCTTCATACCAGGCACCGTATGTACCTTCTGCATGTGAAGTTGAACCATTAATTCACTTAATAATCGATACATTAACCAGTCATCACTTCGATACATCGACTGTATATTAATATTTCCTCGAATCGATACGGATGGTGGCTACACGATCAGACGAAGTCGATGATAAAGAAACACGAACGTCCATCACCAATCGCAAATGACTCAATCTTTCACTTATTGTTTATTAAACGACGCTGTCGATAGCTCAGGCTATATAATATCAAATGATGGAATTAGTGAATTTGAAAGAACGTGGGAAGAATAGATCGTGATGTACTTAAAATATTATCTCGCTGAACTGAAGAAAATCACGGAATTTGATAGCCAGTCTCCGAGACTATATTTAAGCCCGGGATATTCGCAAAGCAAAACAGGGATTCTAACCATTCCATGTCCGTTGTATCTATTTTAATATTATTATCACATACACGCCTTTGTCAGTTACTTTCATTGAGGCCCCATGCCCTATATTCCATGCGTAAGTAACCTCCAATAACGTGCGAAACGCAGAAATAGCTCCAGAAATCTGAGGCAATGCTCAGTTTCCATGGAGATGATGCTTTTCGAATGTGAGGTCTGGTACTCACTTCGTCTCCTGTAGTTCGCTGTTCCTCATGCCGTAAACCTTGGCGTTCTTCATGACCAGACTCAGGCCAACCCGACTCGAACCGTCATCTGCTATCTTCAGTTCTTCAATTGAAAGAGGATCCAGCTGTGGTACTTTGTACTTCCGGTCACCTAAGACAAAAACTGTGTCAAAATTTTGCCTGTTTCGTATGGGCGTGACATTCGGATCTCGACCTAATGGACTAACATTGATCGAGAATGTTACGCTACGGAAACAGATATTTGAAAAAGGTTCCTACTTCCGGTGTCATCTAGGCGATTATCGTTGAGGCATTAAGCACCTCCGAAACGTCTTTCATCCTCTACTAGTTGTCACAGTGCAACATGACAGAAGAAAATCGCTAATTTTTTAATGTAATGTAGACGCTGTTATCAAATGTAGTAAAATCCTGGTCATTGATTCATGACTTACCTTCTCTTCAACATACCCCTTAACAGAAGGACGAGCGGGCGCTGCCTGGGAACCTTCATAGCCGTAAATTTACACGCTTTCCCCTGTTAAATGCAGCGTCTCTGACTACTGCCCCTCCATTTTCTGTGTCTCTCTTTTCAGCTTCATTCTAGGTTAGGTTAGGTTAGGTTTGGTTGGGTTAGGTTAGGTTAGGTTAGGTTAGGTTGTGGGTGTTTGGCCCTCACCTTTTATGACTTGCGGGATAGCTTCCCTGCCGCTCTTCAAGGCGCACTTGTTGAACTCCGGGTCAGTGCGCGCACATGGCTTGATGTAGGAAGCTTCGACAGAAAGAAACAGTGAAAATGTGGCCATTACGAAGAGAAACATCTGCGATTATCTGTCGAACCAGAGTAAATGACACAGTGGAAACCTAAAGACACATAACTGTGACAAGACTGTGCAGGACAGTCTGTTTCTTATTGCAGACGAGCCAATTTTAAGACGGCGTGTGTATCACGTGGGTACTACGCACAGCCAAAGGACTGTGTCCAGTGAGCGGTGTCCTTATTTTCTAAAATGTGTCCTTAACTATGCTCATGTTTCCTTAGTTCTCCCGTTACAAAATACAGGGACCTCCCAGTGACGTTGGGGTTAAAAAAACAATGTCACAAAGGCTTACCGCTGTTGCGATCAACAGTGATCTGCAAGCGGGTGTTTTCTAAGACAAAAACACTGGGAACTATACGGCCTCCAGATGAACGCTGGAAATTCTACATATTTTTCAACAAATCATTGGTACGAGGCGCGTCCACAAAGTAAGTTTCCCACTCGTCCCACGGCTAGCAAACCTTATATTGCGCGAAGCGACTGTGCGTGCGTGATAGAGCAATGACGTAGCATGGCGCATGCACTAACGGCACTTCCCGCGTTCTCACAGTAGCATCGTTGCAGCTGTTGAAGATGGAGGTTCTTATTCCAGCCCCCGCCGACTGTGAAGTGCGGTCAGTGATAACGCTAGGCCGCACACGGCTCGACGGACAGCAAGTCTCCTGCAGGAGTTCAGCTGGGAGGTGTTTAATCATTCACCCTACAGCCCGGACCTCGCTCCCAGTGATTTCCATCTTTTCCTACACCTCAAGAAATTCCTGTCCGGTCAGCGTTTAATGTTCTTAAGGATATCCTCTGCAGTCCTCCTTTATCATACTTCACGACTACCTTTTTTAAATATCCTTTCAACTATTAAATTATCTTTGCGTAAAATATTACATACCTCGGTATCCACTATTTATCTCATGATGAAACTTTGTCAGCATTTCTAAAATACTCCGAAGATTTTGTTTCTCGCACTTACCCTGAATTTGTGCATCAATTTTGAACGTTTCAAAGATCATTCCAGCTTCCATCATCAGGGCCATGATGATAATGAAGGCAGCAAATACATCTGAAACGTCTGTAAACTTCTACCAGACTACATGGTGCTACGACCCAGAAGACAGTCACCTTCGGACTCACCACCAAGAAAACCTCAAATCTTACTATTCTTTAAGTTCAATTTTAACATTAACTCTTCTAGGCTTTGCAGGTGTACAAATCTGTAAAGCTGTGTTATTGCTGTGTATCTGTACTTACGTAGAGGTAGTGCAGCATGGGAGAGACACACAGAGGAAACTGCGAGGAGTACCACACGCCACATTGTGATACACTGTTCTGAAAGCTTTCTCTTTCTATCTGGTTTTTTAAGCAACTAGTTATACTGGTACTCTTAATATACCTCCATCCCTCCATCTTCTGGTGTTTAGAATATGCCAGAAGAAACTTCATATTCATTAAATAACTCAAGGTTAAGATGTACAAAAACCTGTTTTTCTTAAGATGATAGAGTTGCGTCATATTGCGAAAATATATATTTAATTAATTAATCTTGTCCGTCTAATCGCAATTTAAAATTTTAAAATTAAGATAGTTAAAATACCATGTGATGCTCCTTATCGAAACATTCGATTTACATTTGGAACATCACTTTCTCACTACATGTTTCGGTTCTTAGATGAACCATCTTCAGGTGTGTAAAAATTACAGTTATATAAACTTAAAACTTAATCATAATTTCTTACATGCAACTTTTTTGTAGTTTTTTTTTGTGGTTGTTTATCAGTTATTGCATATAAGAAATTATGATTAAGTTTTAAGTTTATATAATTGTAATTTTTACACACCTGAAGATGTAAGTTTTTGTTGATGTTTTTTATTACTACTGCTACTTAGTGTTCTGTCTGAGGACAGGTCCATATGAACAGGATCCTTCCATCCTTTTCTCGGACTGGGACCTGTTCATATACGTTCTTGGCAGATGATCCAGAAGTGGTTTGCCATTGCCTTCTTCTGGGTGTGAATGGAGTAATTGTTGGGATGCCACGGAGGAAAACTCCGTGTTACCTAGACCACGGCCTTGCCCAACACAAGATATAAATTCGGGCACCGCCGGGAATCGAACACGAGACCCCAGGATTACAAGGCCAGCATTCTAACCACCTCATCTTATTATTATTTAGTGTTCTGTCTGACGACAGGTCCATATGAACAGGATCCTTCCATCCTTTTCTCGGACTGGGACCTGTTCTGGTTTTATTAAACTACAGATAAACCAATTCTGATAAGAAGATAAGGAATTTTTAGACCACTGTTGACTTTGCAATGTTTGGTTTCTTGTGCCTTGTAGTCTGATAGAAGCACTGATGATGGAGGCAGAAAGGACCTCTGAAACGTCAGTAAAATCCTATCAGACTGCTTTGGCGCAACAAACCAGAAGACAGCCATCTTCAGACTCAAATATTACTTTGCAATGTTTCTTGCCCCATAGATTTAGTAAGTATTTTGACATTTTCTGTAAGTTCTGCCATTGGAAACATGAGTCCATTTGCATCACTGCGTTCAACGCGAATGACAGTCCTTCGCTTCCAATTGCTTAAGTTAAAGGTGAAAGTGAATGTTTCGGTCTTGTACAAGGTGATCAGGTGTCTGCAGCCTCTAATTAAATCAAAACGACGTACATATATTTACAACATTGCGTATTTTTCTCATGGTTTTCTGCGGGGTCTTTAAGTGATGTAATATTCAGCTGAATGAAAGAAGGAAGTACTGCTTATAGAATTTTGCTGTGGAGATTAATTGGAGTAGGGATGTGAGTTTTTTGAAAATTAAACTCTCTTTCCAAATCCCTTATCCAATCATCTGACCTGAATATACAGTATAATGCATTCCATGTAGTTTAAGTGTCATTATTAAAGAGTCTAAAATTCAATAATTTATTAAAATTACAATTCAATTTTTATGTAGACTTACTCTTAAGGAATCACATTCTGGCTCTTGTTCAGACAATGCCTTTTCAACTGATTCTTGAGGTGAGCATTTAGAAAAGTAAAATAGCTGTGATTTGGAAAGGAGACATTTATGAGTCAACTTTTTTCTCTATATTGACGAGTAGAATTCATATTTGCAATTTCTTTGCCAGAATCTTGAATTTATGCCCTGTTCATTGGCAGCCAAACGAGGACTACAAATTCAACTTGCATATCTATTTTTATGCATAAACACATTTATCAATATGTTCTTGTAACATGTCCGCACAGAGCTCTGTGTAGTCCAATTTTAATAAACCTCACTTCACAGAACATCTCTCTTTAAGGCCCATTACTCCATCTATTTAACCCACGTAGCTAAAGTAGTCCATGGTCCAAATAGTCATCAGTACCAAACCGAAGATTAAAAGTACATTTTTATTAACCACCGTGGTCCTATTTCGTATTACACAAACAAATGTCGTTAACCAAATTTACTTATTTTGATAATGCGTATCACTAACAGTATTTCAAGAAATAGCATAACATATTGGGATTCTGCACTAGAGATTTTTAGAATTCTATGGATAGTCCTTATGTGGTGAGTCAGTTTAATGCCAGAGCTATAATTGTACTCTCTGCTTGTATTATCATCTTACATGTTCATTTATGTAACCATTCAGTCCCATATTCCACAGTGACTCTTTAAGTGTTCACAAATATACGGAAATTTACAAACACTTTCACTTTTCTGCTAGGACATCTCGTTTGTAAACTCACACTTTCAAACTAGTTGTCACCTGTCCTTACACAACATTCTACCGTAGCAGCTAACTAGGCAACGGGGACAACTATTTTACCAACACGCCAGCTTGCTTGAAGTCTGCTTTCTTTCTACCAAGCCTGGATGGACCACTAGTTATTTCCATCAAAATTAACATAAACATTGGGTTCTTTACATTCTACAAGAAACATTACCTTCGTAAAAGCTACATATATTTTTAAGGTTTCAAATGGCAGAATTGGTTTTGCCTTGAAAGCGATTTGTGTCCTTTCGATTGGTTGCTGGCCGAAAGTAGGCGAGTCCTTTTGTAGCCTCTGAACTGGCTATTATGTACAGTATTTCCTCTGTACCTGATGTAACAGTTATACCGCTGGGCTGACCCCTCAACAGACGGAAGGATTCTGTTTCATAATGCCCATAACAGGCCGTAAGGCCTATACTGTAAAGGAAGAATAAGAACTGGCAGTATTTACTGATGTTATTATCATGTGACATCACAAATTTAGACCTTAGTGGTCTATTTCGGGCTCTAGTTGAATATCGTCTAAAATACCTTTGAAACTGGTGTTATTAGACGTAGGTAATTGTACAAGTGAAAGACAGGCTTCATGTTACATTTAATGACAATCTGTAAATATAAAATTTTTAGGAGGAAAGACACACACACACAATGATACAACAAGCCTGATTTTCCTCTTAAAATAAGGAAATATTATAATCACTACATCTCTGGAATCTAGTTTATTAAATATAGTTGCAATTTTATTTTATTAACCAGAATTTCACAATACATGTACTATACAAATATTCTGATACGTGGCTGCTCTAGGATATCCTAGATATGTGGCTTCTTTGGCCGTAGCTTGGTTAATGTCGTTCCCACCACCGAGGACAGCTTGATCCCTAAGCCTCCTTGGGATGGAAGATGCTCCAAAGATCCAGCTGGAATTGTACAACATCTTCTGTCAAAAGATTGCTATCTTCTAGGTTATTGCGCCGTGTAGTCTGGTAGATTTCCACCAACGTTTTAGAGGTCATCAGGGCCGTGATTACATGACGCAATAACCCAGAAGACAGCAATCTTCAGACTCACTGCTGTGAAAGCCTCAAATCCTACATCTTCTGTCAAAGTTTTGTTTTTAAATAATGTACTATTTGAAAAGTTAAAACAGCAAAATTTCTGGGCATCAGCCATCATCCTGATTTAATTAAAATTAATATTGTCTCAAACTTCAGCCCTGAAGATGGAAACAGTATATTTCTTCAAAACAGTGGTATTTGACTTCTGTGAGGACCTCATATTTCACGCGTATTTTCTGTTCTCCCTTCAAGACCATGATTCACATCCACGCAAAAAGTTCAGTGTATCATGAACTTTAGTGTTTTCGAAAGCATCTTCAAGCTTGAACAACAAGTGATAAGCACATTCTATGAAATTGCTGCAGAATTTGTTAGTTTATTTAACTAAGTTTCGTCTAAAATAACATCTTCACATGACCATGGCACTAGTAACACCTTCTCTAAGAACACTAAAAATATTAACCGTGTGTGGCGTTTATAATTAGGGTCCCCCTGACTGATTCATTGGGAGCTGCAGACCCACAGAGACAAAGTCTCACTTCGTGGCAACAGTAGCATCAGCAATGGAGTTGATCTGGCGGTTTCATGCAGTCCACCTTGTGCTCAGGACATGTGTTTCGTCACTGACCTGCAGTGAAGTCACTGGCCTTGCGGAATGTGGTCGCTTTCTTCGTGAGCTGTCGATCTGTGAGGTGCGGTTCGCATGGTGGCAGAGCAGGACTAGGGCAGTTGCAACATCCTGAACTGAGAGAGACGTCAGACTGCGGTAGACTGTCCGTGTCGGACTTGATTTCAGCACGAACCCTGTCCAGAGCTGTCAACACAGGCAGCAACAGTGTGTTGTGATGACGAAACGACACAAGTGGTTACAGCGGGCCACCTTAAGGGCGGTATCGCACTAGGATGCCATGGCAGCGACACCAACAGCGATGCCATGGCGTCCAGCTGCCAGAAAAAGACGCCAGACAAGCTGCCTTTGCACGTCCATACCTTTATTGAATTTGAAATGTTTCAGTTCTTGCAAATCACATGTAATATTACATGAACAAACTTTATTTAATAAAACATTATAAAAGCAGGTTTCTTCTTAATTCACATTATTTGTGATATATAGATTGCTAAACAAAAAAACTTAAAAATCAAGTTGCCATATTGGAAAGCGGCCCCACAAATAAAGCCATAGAAACACTTCTTAGCTAATTCAATCTTTTCTATTGTAAATAAATCTCCTCCAAATATTTCCACAAGTTCTACCCAGTTTCATTTTTTCAAGTCCCGGTTTGCGTATTCAATAGCAGATGAATCCCATAGTGATGGTCGGGACTGAATTTCAATTATCAATCTTTCGGTGTCGAAATTGTCCACGTTTGGAAGAAACAGAAATACACACAAGCACATTCACGCACGGACGTCAATGGACTGGCCAGACTGTCATGTGATGTTGATTTGGCCTTGGCCGTGGCAGCGATGCCAGTAGCATTTGAACTTGGCATCTTGGTTGGCAACGATACCACGTTGGAAGCGCTGCCAGACGGATGCCAGATGCGATATACGATGACTACTAAATTAATGCATTGAGTTTGGCAGCTGCGCCATGGCCTCCCGTTGGCATCCTAGTGCGATACCGCCCTAAGAGTACTACTGAACTGTCATCGTAAAATACGGAACTTAAGTCGTCGCTGTATGTCATGTTATTATTCCTATTTACATATAATTATTCTCCTTCCTCAGCTTCTACTGATTATAATCTTGGTCCGTTCCGATACGAAACTGCCTGAAATCGAAGCTCGACTAAATATTTACGACTTCAGTCCGTACCGCAAAGAAAACACAACACTTCACCATTAAAAATATCTAAATGGTTAACGCTGTTCAAGGAAGCATTGCTTGTTCACACTGAGAATCATGTGAAATCCATAACGCGAAATAAAGGTTCCCCCATTGTACATCAAACTGGTACCAAATGTCGAGTGGTTATCACTCTTTGTTGAATCTCGGCGAGGAGACCAACTATCTCGACATGAGGATTTTGTGGTTTATCATGGGCCCTAAAGTTCACGACCACTTCCTTCCGTATCCTTTCCAATTCATTGCATTATTTTCGTCAATTCTGCCATTAGACGCTATGAATTATGAAATACCGACAGTGTGGTTGGACCCTAGAAAGAAGATAAGAAATGTCTTTCCCGGTCAGAAACCTCAACGATCCAGTCCGTGGTATAGCCATTACACTGACTGAGCTAACCGCCTCCTGATTACACTGTATTGGTCATATGTAAAGTTCATTTCTGTGTCAACAACAGAACCTGTTGTATTTTCAACCATGAATCAAGCGGTTGCCAAGCAACGAGAAGCGGTTTACATACATCGTTATGCAATGTAACTGGGAGAATCGGAGGAAGAACCCGACATCACTGTATAGAAGGATTTATAAGATAAAAAAATAAACGATTGAAATTTCAGATTCTTACTTCGGCGAGTATGAAGATGACTGTCTTCTGGACTATCGTGCCGTATAGTCTGGTGGATATGGATACTGAACGACGTTTCAGAAACACCCCCCCCGAAACGTCGGTAAATTTCTACGAGA